ACGACTACTACTACTACTACTACTACTACTACTACTATGTCCTAGTACTACTAGTACTACCTCTGTTATATCTTCTATCCCCACCCCTACTGTTACCACTACTAGTGCTACGACGACGACTGAAACTACTATTACAACCACTACGGCGACTACTACTACTACTACTACTACTACTACTACTACTACTACAAGTATTGCTACTATTATCACTACTACTACTACTACTACTACTACTACAACAACTACTACTACTACTACTACTACTACTACTACTCTGCTGCTTTTACTTCCACTCGTACTACCACTACTAATACTACGACTACTACGATTACCACCACTATTAGTAATACGATTATATTTTATTAATTGTTTTTTACGTAGAACTACGATTGCTGTTACTATTACAAATACGGTTAACAGTTCACGACTACTACTATTACTAATATTATTCTTAATGCCATTATTGCTACTACGATGACGACTACGGATGCCACTACGATTGTTATTACGACTACTATAACGATTACTAATATGAAACTACGATTCCTAGTACGATTACTGCTATTATTCCCCACATCCAAAGTGGGGTTCTTGTTTTCTCTGGACACCCCGCGCAGGAACAGGAACACACACACACCCACTCACACTCACTCGCACTCTCATCATCAACCTCATCAGCATCATCGATGATGCTCTCTCACATGCTTAGTCACTCACATACTCATCATCATCATCACTCGCACTCTCTCACACGCTCACGAACATCATCATCATCATCATCATCACCATCATCATCGGCATCGGCATCATCCTCATTCAAACATCATCATCTCATCAATCATCATCCACCACTCATCTTCACCACCACTCATCATCCTCATCCTCATCATCGTTGAGTAAATTGTGAGGAAGTCTCAGGCGGGAGCCCCCTCCCTATGGGGCCCGCAGATCATGTTGGTAATCCGAGCGGGTCATCGGATCCTGTAACTGTCGTCACTTTTGAGCTCCCCAGGCCTGAAAATGGAGGAAGTCTCAGGCGGGAGCCTCGTCTGTGAGTGAATTGGGAGGAAGTCTCAGGCGGGAGCTCCCTCCCTATGGGGCCCGCAGATCATGTTGGTAATCCGAGCGGGTCATCGGAACCTGTAACTGTCGTCACTTTTGGGCTCCTCAAGCCTGAATTTGGAGGAAGTCTCAGGCGGGAGCCTCGTCTGTGAGTGAATTGGGAGGAAGTCTCAGGCGGGAGCTCCCTCCCTATGGGGCCCGCAGATCATGTTGGTAATCCGAGCGGGTCATCGGAACCTGTAACTGTCGTCACTTTTGGGCTCCTCAAGCCTGAATTTGGAGGAAGTCTCAGGCGGGAGCCTCGTCTGTGAGTGAATTCTGAGGAAGGCTCAGGCGGGAGCCCCCTCCCTATGGGGCCCGCAGATCATGTTGGTAATCCGAGCGGGTCATCGGAACCTTGTAATTGTCGTCACTTTTGGGCTCGTCAAGCCTGAATTTGGAGGAAGTCTCAGGCGGGAGCCTCGTCTCTGAGTGAATTGTGAGGAAGTCTCAGGCGGGAGCTCCCTCCCTATGGGGCCCGCAGATCATGTTGGTAATCCGAGCGGGTCATCGGAACCCTGTAACTGTCGTCACTTTTGGGCTCCTCAAGCCTGAATATGGAGGAAGTCTCAGGCGGGAGCCTCGTCTGTGAGTGAACTGCGAGGAAGTCTCAGGCGGGAGATCGAGGCGCGGGCGCGGAGCTTGCTGATGTTCAGGCCCAGCGAAAGGGAGTTCACATGGCAGAGCTCGGGGGCGCACAGCGTGCGCCGCTCGGGGTTCACCCTGACGCACGCGTCCTACCTGACCTCCACGCTGTCGCAGGGCCAGACGCTGCGCAAGGGCGTCACCATCGACTGCGCGAGAGACGAGGACGCTGGCCGCACGGGCATGTCGGACGAGCAGTGGTGGCTGCACCTCTACGTCATGTTCTCCCGCGCCACGTGCATGCGGAACATGCTGATCCTGCGGCCGCCGCCGCGAGAGTTCCTGGAGTGCGGGCCGCCGGCGTCCCTGCGGAAGGCGCTCCTGGAGTTCGACAAGAGAGCGGTTTTGTCCAGGGCGGAGGCGAAGCAGCTCGCGGCAGAGCTGGGCTTCGTGCTGCCTTCCGCCTGGGCGCGGCTGCGCCTCGCTCGAAGCCCGCGGGGTTGTCCCAACGGCTTGGTCTTGCGCGCCAGCGGCTCGCGGGGTTGTCCCGACAGCCTGGCCCGCGGGGTTGTCCCAACGGCTGCGCGACGTGACCAGTAGAGAACGCGCCTGTGCTGGCCGTGGCGGCGACGGCGCCGAGGAACATCGACATGCGCGCTCATGCAACAGGAAGGGGAGGAGGTGGCGGGGCGCGGAACAAACAGGGGGGCGAGGATGGGGACAACGTAAGGAGTGGAAGGGGGGCCCGCGCCAAGGCGAGAGGAAATATACGCAGAAGAGACAGCCAGGACGCCTCACCAACCACGAGGACGACGGTGATGGCTTTTTCCAGATTCGCCCAGAGGATTCTTATGTGGGGTTCTTCCGTCGGAGTAATTATTCATCCGATCCTTACGACTACGATTACTACGGCTACTACGCCTACTAGTATTAGCACTAGTGCTATTGTTACCAGCACTATTGCTATCACTAATGCTACTACTACTACTACTGCTACTACTACCACTACTGCTACTACTACTACTACTACTACTACTACTACTATTGCTACTACTACTACTACTACTACTGCTACTACTACGAGGACTACGATGACTACAACCACTGATACGCCTAATATTGCGAATGCGACGGTTACTGCTACTAATAGTTTTACTAGTATTACTACTACTACTACTATTACTACGACTACTACTACTACTACTACTACTACTACTACTACTACTACTACTACTACTACTACTACTACGACGACAACTATTACTACTACCGCCACTATTACTACGATTACTACGACTGCCACTCCTACGACTACTACTACTACTACTATTGCTACTACTACTACTACTACTTCTACGACTACTACTCTTACTCCTACTACTGCTACTGCTACTTCTACTAATAGTATCTCTACCACTACTACTATTACTACCACTACTACTACTACTACGACGACGACGACGATTACTACGAGTACTACTACTACTACGACTAATACCATTATTATTACTACTACTACGACCAATACTACTACTACTACTACTACGACGACGACGACGACGACTACTATTACTACTACCACGACTACTACTACTACTACCACTGCGATTACTACTACCCCTACTATGACGACTACTACTACTATTTATATTACTTCTAGTACCAATATGTTTACTACCCCTGCTACTACTACTGCTACTACTACTATTACTCCTACCACGACTACTACCACTACTACTACGACTACGATGTTACTAATATTGTTACTACTACTACTACTACTACTACTACTACTACTACTACTACTTCTGCTTTACTACCACCTACTACTGCAACAACTACGACACGACTGCGACGACTACTATCATTACTACCACGACTACGACGACTACT